GTACGACGGGGTGGCGCCAACTGACAATGTGGACTCGGCAAGCGACATGCGAGAGGCAGACTACTAAACTGGATCATTGTGCTATTACCGGGGCCCCAGGAGTCTCTCGAACTGCTCTGCTGCAGCAGACTACCGAAATGGGGCATACACAGTCCTAAGGCACATGACACAGGCCGGGAATACACAACCGACCACCAGAATTCACGTCATTGAGCATGTGCTTTTTTTAGCGGCGTGCGTTTCCTAGTTTCATAGCCTGCTGAAGCAAAATTGTTTCTCACCGACGTGGCTCATGCCGGACGGACAAATAAAAATGATCGCATCGATTAGCGTGACTACCCAATCGTTGGTATTAGCTCCCTAAAACACGACTTGCATTTCGAAGTGAAGGAAAGCAGCTCAGTATAAAATCAAGCTATTATTCCAAAGGGGAACTTGATCAGAAAATCCCGAGTCACAAAACAGGATTGTCCTTTGCAATAATGGTGGCAGTAATAAAAGATGCGTTGGGAGCCGTAAATAAGATCAAAGAATGCAGAAAAAAGAGTCAAACAGAGATCACAAAAGCACGAGTCAGAGGCCGGAAACAGTACCGGGATGGGAAGGTGAAGGGGGGAGGGGGAAGGAGAGAACAGAGTACGGCTTCCGCAACCACCCCCCGCTCCTCCGGAGTGGAGATGGGATTCGGAACGACAGTGTTGGTATAAAAAAAGGATGGCTGGCGGATGAGGGAAATGCCGGTATTCATTTAAAAGAATTACACGCAAGTGGCCAACGCGGGGTGGGTGAGGGCAGCCGGTAGGAGGATGAAGGTAAACACGGTTGGCCGGGGGAAGAGCACTATCAGAGTTTGACTGGGTTAGAGAGCGACGGCCACCGCCACCACGGAGTTCACATCCGAGTCCACTGGGGCGGAGGAAAGTGGCGTACACCGGTGTGGACATCAGCACGGTCTACGGGGTGCAGGTAGTTGTTTAGAGTGGCAAAAATTTGACGGTTGAGCACACTGAAGCGACTCAGGCGTGTAGCCAATCTGGCGAGAGACTGCGAAAGGAGGAAAGAAGTGCCATTCAGAAGTGAAAAAAACAGGGAGACGGTCCAGAGGCCAGAATTCCTAACTCGTAGGAAAAAAAACTGTTAAGATAGAAACAAAGAACTATGGAGAAGATGAGAGCAAATAGGTAAAAAAATCCAGTATCTTTACTCATGGGTGTGTGTGTTCAATACCCTTACGATTTTGCCCCCTCGCATGGCACAACTGCTCTGACGCGTTTAACTCTCGTGACATGTCAGCCACAGATCAGAAATATAAACTAAATTCAGACACAGACAACTGAAGGAAAACTGCAGTTAGAAACGGCTTTAATTACATCATTGTTTATTTTCACCCAACTGTGAAAAACTCGGTGACCTCGGTGGGATTCGAACTCACGACAGCAAGGGTAAGGGTTGAGTACAGCCAACGCTCTAGCTACGGGGCCCCACCAAGAGTCGTGAGTTTAATCACATTTGGGTTAAGTTACCCGTCCAGCCTACTGCAACGCATGGAATCCGCCAAATCTGATATAGAAAGCTGACTGCCCAGGCAGGATCTTCGAAGTAATCCATCTGGAATTTACCAGATGACTACGAGGCTCACGGCCATGATTAAACTCACGGCTTCGGCGGGGCCACGTGGATCCGGCGGCTACTGTACTGAAGCCTTACGCTTGCTGTCGTGGATTCGAGTCCCACCGAGGTCGCCCAGTTCTTCATAGTTGGATCAAAATAAATTATTCAAAATCCACCAAAACACCTATCAATTATCGATTTTCAAAATGGACGTTTCCGTCTGATCTGAATTGTGTGCGCGCTCGATACCGGCTGGTAATTAAAGTAGTTTTTAGTAAGATCGCAAAGGTAGAGGCAAACAATGGTTCACTGTCCACGTCGAATGAATGGCGTAGAGATGGCTATATCAAAGGTTCTAATGGTGAACCGCTTAGTCGAGAATCCGGGTTCCTGCGCGTGAATGCCTTCCCCACATAGTGCGGTCTGTTAGAGCAGAGGGGGATTGGCGTAGGGTCAATCGGACAAAAAGCCGGCTGGCTAGTCAAAAAATTGGAATTGTGCGGGATCAATAAAATAATAAACTATGTCGCGTCTTTTGGTCGGATTTCAAACTCAAAAAACAAAAACCAAAACGTGAGACACGCAACAACGTACACTTCGGATAACCTTAACAGATTGCAGTCGTGAGCATAGACCGGGGCGGGCATATAATGCCTATGCTAGGAGCAGCACATGAGTCGTAAAAACTAGGTTGGACAAACTACAAGCAACTTTGTCTTCTTAGGTACTCTCAGTGGGTCAAGCACGACAGGGCTTCGATCTAAGAGCCATTTTACGCCCTCAAATCTTCGTTTTCCTCCACAATTTCGCTCAAAATTGGTGCCTTAGCCGAAAACAGCAGATTTAAATTGCTCTCATAGGGCCATCGGTGATCTCATATCAACAAAACGATATTTGCTTTGTGATAAGAAAGGGTAAATCCACCCCGTTCTCAGGCTTCCGTAGTTTTTAGGTAATTTCTGCAGGAGACATGCTTGGGGAAAAACGAGAGGAAAGAACAGTAAGGGGAGTCTTGGCAGCCGTCTCATCAGCAGGTACGCGTGAGTACGTGGTCAGGACAGGCGGAAGAATCAATAGAGAGTAAACAGGGCAGCGACGCGGAGCAGAAACCGGAGAAGGGGGAGGGGGTGGACAGGAAAGGTGAGCAAATGGGGACAGTCACGCGTGCTAAGAAGATGCAGGCTGAGGCTACCAAAAGCATCACGCAACGCCGAATCTGCCGAAGTGCGGACACAATACCTTCGATCGATACCCAATCTGCAAGAACAGTTTTTACGTGGTTTATTTTGGAATATACGGCCATAAAATGTCAGAAGAAGCCTTGAAGTGTGGACCAAAAACCGCCAGACTGATTAACCTGGCGTAACATGCACAAATCGACACTGCTGACTTATTTACTGCTGCGTACAGAGACTAGAGAGGGTAGGGGAGAAGAGGGGCGAATAATCTCACTTGTCCCAAAATATCTTACCCTAGGAGCTGAGCGCACGCGTCAAACCCTCATTTACGCATGAGTAAATCTCCTCTCGGAAAACGTCCATTTACTATGCAAACTGTCAAGTCTGTTCAAATGGGCTACTGCACTGCCTCGACGTGGATCGATGCGGACGCAGCCTATACCATTATTCAGCCAGATATCAGTACCAGAAGACGAAATAAGGCACTGGCACTTCTATACATGGGAAGTGGTCGAAACACTGGTGAAGTGTCACAAAAGCTCAATTCCATGCATCGGGGGGGGGGGGGATTTTAATGATGCATCAACCACTTCGGAGCATGGCAAATTTGTGAAAACAGGCACGCTGTGGACATGATCGACAACGACGATCGGACCACTAACCACAAGCTCAACTCAGGCACCACATCATTGCAAAGTGGGTTGGTTAGGATGCAACTTTTACTACCGAGCCCACACAGTGGGTACGTCATCGGAGGACAGCCTAACACTAACAGTCACACCACCGACCGAAATAGAAAGAGATAACAGCACACAGGCGAAAAGAACGCGTGATTCAAAAAGTCCCAATTAAATATTGACGAGAAAACAGAATTAGCATTCCTAAAAATGCAATCCGGCCGAAATACTGGAGGGATTACACTAAAGCTCTACTTCAAGATTCGATCAGGTCAGTCACTCGCAATTCAGTCGGCAGAGTGGTCAAACAATTTTCCAAAACAGACACAGCTCAAGACGTAACAGGGGATGACGACTTAAGTGCTGATATGGCTGTGCAAACACACGCAACAACCAAACAACGAATGTTCGGTGGCTTTCCAAAGGGTCCCCTCCATAATATGCTAGGAAAATACCGCTTTCAGCCATATCACTCTGTCCGACTATAGGCACGTTGGTCCAATCCTAAGGAGCGTCGAGAAGAAGTCTTCGGGAATATTTAGGTAAACCGAAGCCCTCATGAAGTCATACACTCTCGGAACGGAATAATAATGAAGCCTGATTTTTAAAATTCCAACAACCCCAGCCAATCGCTTCTTCGCGAGAGGATCCTGCAATCATAGTTTGCAACGAAAAAACGAGTCTTTTTTCCACAATAAAACGTTTCAGGTGGATCGGCAGTTAAAACCCGTTAATTTTTCTCCATTCTGGGGCAGCCTGATAGTCCATTATTGCAACGACAGGTGATTACCGCATTAGGAGGTCTTGAATTACATGACTATGAGTGGTTTGAGCAGAACAGTCCGCTAAACACTATGACCATAGCGTGCGCGACTGCCTCAGCGAGGTCCTCGAAGGCCGATGGGTTGATCAAACAGGCTCAGTGGGCGGGGAGGGGTGGCCTCCCAGGTCCCCTCATCTTATCTCACCTGGGTCCTCACCATGCGGCTACTTGGCAGACCTGAAGCTGTAGAACAGTTAGGGCAGGCTCCACATCGGGAATGCAGTCTGGATACTGCGGCCAACTTGGTTACTGCGTTTTCAAATCTTTCATGAGAAGGAATTTGTCTTCTAAACGAAATTATGGACGATAATTTGAAGGGCTTTGAAGTAAATGTTCCACGGTTATTTTCACAGCTCATGGTTTAGAAAGGTGTGTTGTGTAGTACTTCAGAGGCAGAGCAGAAACTACCAAAGATTTTCCGCTGACAGAGGTTTCGAGCTAGTATGTCGCTTTCGAATGGGAAAAATCGTCACCATTAAAAAAAAACTGGCAGCTAACTTACACCTGCAAAGTAGTTCAACTGAAAACAGATGGTCCTGGTGAAAATAAATGTCTACGAGGACTTCTGAGATTGTCTTAGACTTTAAGAGCATCTTTTGTCCACCCACTAGAGAAGAGCCGAATCATAGTATTTCTAAACTTTCACAGTCCGGACAAAACGTGGAGGACCGCTTAGCCAGCATCGTGACTTTCTTCGAGGAGGCACAGCACAACTCGGAGAGCTGGGCAATTAAAACTGAGCCTTCCTACGGTTTGTTGGGTAATCAGGCTGAAAGGTTTTGGAAACCGCCCACAAAGCTATGGGCGCTTCAAGGCGATGCGCAACAGAGATGTGTAGCAGTTAACAGAAGAGGACGTTACTGCTAAAGCCTTAATATGGAAAACCATACTAGACGTCAGGTTGAAGAAAATGCCAAGAATTAAGGAAGAGGCGTAAGCCAAGAACGATCTTACGCGGCAATATGCATTGTGAAATGTGATGCGGTCTATATCAGCAGGCGATAAGCTTAAGCCCAACTGGTCACTTTATCGAACAGCTAAGAAGCGACGGTTCGACAAGGAGGATCCATTTGACGAGAGGATCAACGACCGATGGAGCATAGTATTAAGAACTCTCAAGTACACTAGCATGTGTCTGTAGGTTTACTATCACTATTCAGGCCATTACCTTCTCTTACAGTGCTCTTTGAAACGTCAGCAGTTAAATAAACCTGTTTAGCCATTTAGCCAATAATTCAAATTTGAGGATAGGAACAGAATAGGGACAGAAGTTTTGTCCAAATTTATGATGCTCTTCAAGCCCTTGAAGATGCCTATGGACCTGTAACGATATCTCAACGATTGCAAAGGTCCGTGCCATTCTCTACAGCTGCAAATGCCGAGCTGAATTCGTGGACAAGGAGCGAAAATTGAAAGTTCTAGATTAGTGATGCTTGAAGGCGATCCTGCGGGCGAAGGACTTCGACTTCATCTTGAATGAGACAGTTCATACCTTCTGAGGCAATATCCTGGTTATATCGCAGGCCACACAACAGAACGACGGGGCTGGGGCGGCATGTACACGCCATTCACCGCCCGCCCCAGAAGTTCACTGCTTCGCCAACCCCGAGACCGCTGCTTACGCGGAGGCCAATCCAAAAAGCAACTCGACACTTTAGGTCAACATATAGTGGTTCTTAGACCTACAGTGTTCGGTCTTTGCCGTCGGAAAAGAGGTGACGTCCAAGTCACACTTTTTGACAGACGATAGCTCCGCAACACAACTCAGATCGGTTACACCAAGTGTGCATAAAACTGCCTCAAGTTTAAGCAAGTATCAATGCATAGCTAAGGCCCCCTATCATACAATCACAGGTTTTAAGCAATGCACATGCCATGCAGGGAATACATCAGAGTATTTCTGTCGATAAGGCTTACAAATCCATCTGGAAGAATGTCCTTCTTGTCAGCGCGCTGAATTCGCAAAAACTGACCACCAAAGTCCAACATCTCGAAGCGGCGCTGCTGGCCCAGAAGACAGATAATGGCGCAGCCGGCCCAATTGAGACCGTCACCGAACATCTCCTCCACAGTGTACTCGTTTTCGCCAAAGGGTGTGCTGAACACAAACTGTATGGCCGACCAGATGCGATGAAATTGCGAACAGCCCTCGATCTGGATGGACTCTTTGGAGGCTGCGGGTTGAGTGCCAATCTGGCTGGTGCCACCAGTGCCATGCCACACGTTTACGGGCACAGGGGCCTGACTTGAGGTGGTACTGCCGTTCTCGCTGACAGGCTCATCTTCCTCGAGAAACTCACGGATCCGATTCAGCACCTGTCGAACAGAGATGACCGGAGGAAGTAAGTCAATTGTTTTTTTTGGTGAGCAGCAAACAGTGCAGTGCTTCAACGCACACTAGAACTCTAAGATAGTTGAACACTAGCGTTATCACAATTGGATCATTATAAAATATACAAGAAAATCCACCAAGACATCTATGAATTACGTGGGCCGCGTAGTCCTCTGCTGGATTCTAGGTGGGTTACTTAAGAAATCCTGCTTAGGCAGTCATCTTACTGTATAAGATTTGGTGGATTCCAGACGTTGCGGTAGATTGGGCGGGTAACTTGACCCAAATGTGATTAAACTCGCGTCGTCCGGCGGGGCCTCGTAGTTCAGGTGGCAAGAGCGTTGGTGAGCTAAGGCTTCCCATTTATGTTGTGAGTTTGCATTTCACCGAGGCGCTGAGTTTTTCATGGTTGAGTCAGAATGAAATAGCGTTATCGTCCCCATTAGCAACTACCCCACCATCAACATCCATCCTCACTTCCTCAGCAGTAGGAGCAAGAAAATGAAAAAAGTGAGGTATATAAGCATGTCAAGTGGGCGTTTGACCCTCACTGTTGTGGTTAGGATCTCACTCGATCCCATTCTGTCCGCCCGCCAGCTTGCTACTAGCGACAACGAACGCTGTGTCATAGGACACATACCACCTACGTCCTCGCCTGGTTCTGTGGCTGCCGCTTGCATCGAGCCTCCCCGTTTGTTTCCTAATCTGACACCGAACTGCAAACCCATCGCTACTAAATCTCGCAGGCACACCAATATGGATGAGAGACTTATACGAGAAAAAGTTCGTCGCCTTCTTTCTGAGGGTGTAATTGAGCATTCATTATCCCCCTGGCGAGCCCAAGCTTTGGTCGTAGCCAATGAAGACGACAAAAAGCGGATGGTTGTCGATTATAGCCAAACGATCAACAGATACACACTTCTAGATGCCTACCCCTCCCCCAGAGTAGACAAAATGGTTGAACGTATTGCAAACTACGACACTTATAGCACTCTTGATCTCAAGAGCGCCTATCACCAGATACCCATCCGGGTAAAAGGAAGACCATACACTGCCTTTGAAGCTTGTAGACGTTTATATCACTTTTGTCGTATCCCCTTTGGTGTGACCAACGGAGTTGCGTGCTTCCAGCAGACCATCGACGACATAATTGCACGCGAACGTCTAAAGAATATTTTCGTCTACGTTGCCAATATCACTATTTGTGGGGGCGGCCTCGCGGAGCATGATTCAACCCTTCAAAAATTCCTTAACGTGGCTGAAAAGTACGGAATAGCATTCAATGAAGCCAAAGTTTTATCGCTACTAAAGAAACTAAACTTCTTGGTTACGAGATGTCCAAGGGCAACATTAGGCCGGATCCGGATCGTCTAAGGCCTTTCCGTGAAACGACTCCTCCACAAGATCTTAAGTCTCAACAACGAGCTGTGGGACTGTTTGCATACTACTCACAATGGATATCTCACTTTTCGGATAAGATTCATCTGCTTATCCATAACAGAACTTTCCCCTTACCACTGAAGGTAATGGAAGCGTTTGATGCTCTTAAGGAGGAACTTGCGAAAGCCACAGTGGCCACTGTTCATTACGATACCCCATTAGTTGTCGAGACCGATGCTTCCGACGTCGCAATCGCTGCCACACTGAATCAGAATGGCCGAAGAGTAGCGTTCTTTTCACGTAGCCTATCCCCAAATGAGCGACATAATTCAGCTATAGAGAAAGAAGCATACGCCGTAGTGGAATCCATACGCAAATGGAAGCACTTCCTCCTCTGTAATCACTTTAAACTCATCACGGATCAGCGTTCTGTTGCCTTCATCTTCGGCAGTCAGCAAAAAGGGAAGGCCAAGAATGATGAGATCGAACGCTGGAGATTGGAACTGTCACCGTTCAAGTTTGGCATTGTCTACCGACCTGGTACAGGAAATCGAGCGGCGGACGCTTTCCCGTAATTGCCGTGACACCCTACTAACCAGTGCCGATTTGAAAGAACTACACGAGTCACCTTGTCATCCCGGCGTCTCTAGGTTTTCGCACTTTGTTCGAGCTCGGAATCTCCCCATTTCGATGGAAGAGATTCGTAATGTCGTCGCTAAATGTCAGGTCTGTTGTGAAGTCAAACCCCGTTTCTTTAAAACACAAGGCCAACTCATCAAAGCCACCCAGCCGTTCGAACGACTGTCACTCGACTTCAAAGGTCCTTTTTCGTCGGCAACTCACAACCGCTATCTGGTGACGATTATTGATGAATATTCTCGTTTTCCGTTTGCGTTTGCCTGTCCTGATCAGACTGCCGGAACTGTCATTAAATGTTTGTGTGAGTTCTTCTCCACTTTCCGTACTCCTTCGTACATACACACCGACCGGGGATCGTCATTTATGTCAAATGATATTCAGCAATTCCTTCGCAGTAAAGGAGTGGCGACGAGTAGAACAACTCCATACAATCCCCAAGGAAATGGGCAGGTCGAACGTCTGAACCAAACTTTATATAGGACTATCTTGCTTGCTCTGAAATCACAAAATTTGCCCGTCACACACTGGGAATCCGTCTTACTTGACGCTTTACACTCAATTAGATCACTTTTGTGTACCGCCACTAATGCAACACCTCATGAGAGAATGTTTGTCTACAACAGGAGGTCAACTACTGGCACTACTCTCCCCATGTGGCTTACCTCTTCTGGCAGAGTTCTGCTGAAGAGCAATCAACAGTCTAAGTTTGATCCGCTTGTTGAGGAGGTAGAACTACTCCAATGTAACCCCCAATATGCTCATATATGATTCAGTAATGGCAGCGAAAAAACGGTATCTGTTCGACTGCTTGCTCCCAGCGGTGAAAAGGATGTTGGTGATTGCCACCAGGAGATGGCCAAGCCGGTATCAGAAAATTTCTTCCCACTTTCCCCTGACCACCCCCACCCCCCCACCCATTACCGAGCAAGAAAGTAGCACCGTTTCAACTGACGAACAGAATGATGCGACACCTGTTAGTGTACCGAACGCTGACGAGGTCCGCATGCACAACCTAGAAACATTAACCCAACAACAACAACAACGTGTTCACCCACACTGCCTTCGTAACAGAGACGCCTGAACTTTGCCCCATGCAAACTTTTCCTATCGATTTTTGACATCTCAATTCCTCCATTTGTTGGCCGGGGTGAATTTCATGCTAAAATAAGCCCCTGGCTAAATTCCATATTATCTACTACTTTTCCATTTCTCGTTTTAGTCCCAATACGTCAATTTTAAGATGAATAAAGCCCTGTCATAGGGTATTCTCGTTCTGACTCATGCATCCATATTCGTTCGTCCTCCCCATCTCGTGTGCTTGCTACGGTCCTAGCTACAACAGATACCACGCACAAAGGTCTCAAAGAGGAAATGGATGGAACGACAGCCAATCTGAACGAGGTGGTGATAGCGCCGCTGACCGGCACAAATGCCAGAAAAGCACTCATCTTTGCGGATTTACTCTATCCCTGACCGTGATCTCAGGAACCGGCGTAGAAAATGTACGGAATACAGAAGCCCTCCTTAACCTCCATTTATATTTTCTTTCAAAAATGGCCGTATTATCGGCGGTCACGCAAACGTCCAGGAGTCAGGAAGGTGGGCACAGGACATCAGGAGTATAACACGTAATTTCCAGCGCCAACGAATCCCTTGCGCCTAACGATATTAGATCTGTCTAATGGGATCTCTACTATTCCAGAACACATAAAATACCAAAGGGCAAGTAAGTGAAAGAGCCCCGGGGACATAAAGGAGGGCCGAATAGCAAGTAGAATATGCGAAAGTCAATGACCTGTTCGAAGAGAACCAGCCCACAGCAAAGTCGTTCTCGGGTCAGGACCTCAGTGGAGTCGGCGATTTCGATCAACTAGAAGGAAGGCAGGCAGTTACGAGTTACATAGCACAGTTGATAATATAAACATTAAAAAAAGAAAGTGGTCCACGGTAACAGAATTTGACAAGGCAGTCAAAAACACCTAAGGACATGCAGTAGGGTCTTCTATTTTATTACTGGAGGCTGAGGCGGTAAAAAGGAGACTTGTCAACCGCAAATTAGTCGAGAAAATGTGTCGGCCAACTGGAGTCTTGTTGGCCATCGTTAAAAGGAGATCCCAAAGGCAATTCAAGCCAGCTAACAAAAGGACGAGTTACAATATCTTCTTAGGCCAAAGTGAGACATGGCGAGGAGACCGTCGTCAGCGTAGATAGAAGTTAGATTTTTGTCGAGGAATTACAGAATGTTTTAGGAAGACATGGTTGAATTACCCATAGTATGCGACAGTGGTGCACTGCAAGGAAGATTAAGCGGAAAAGTTACATTATTCGGGGACTTATTTTTTTGTCGGGAGGATGGCAGGTTAGTGGGCATGCACAGCCTGTGTTTGATTGGAACTTACTGCTGCACTTGGAACTTGACAGTTCATATCCGCATGTTATTAAAATGAATGCTGACAAGGAATATGACGGGTTTTTGAGATTATCTACTGCTACACATGCGCTGCAGATGGACGGAACTTGCAGACTGCAACAGGCAACTCTCCTCCCCCCTTGAGGTTTGATTTTTCTGCAGTTTTTGAATGGCATTGTCGTTTTTGTTATCGAATCCGGGAAAAAGAAGGCTTCGGTAACACAATCTTGCCACACGCCTTCCTGACAGAAGCCTAGAAGCGTCTTTTTATTGCAGTCAGTGGAGGTAAACGCCATGAGAGCGGCAAAAATAGATAAAAAAACCGTGGGAAGGTAAAAGGGCGGCACTTTTGCCAGTCCCGTCGCCGAAAGTTCATAAGTGTCAAAAATGGGCAGATCTTGTTTCGATGGGCGAGATTTTATGCTACTCTGGTATCTCAAGAAAGAGCTCCAGGATGGTCATGACGATAATGATCTCATCTGGTGACACCTAATTAAACGGAGACCAGGTCCCTGCCCGCGAGCATAATACTGATGTTCCTATTCAGTCAGGTACGCTGGAGAGGGACGGATGATTAGTCTTCAAAGTGCGCGCCGGCAAAGTGCAATAATGCGAGGCAAAAAAATGCGCGAAGAAGAGCAGGGGAAAAGGAGTAAAGGACAGTGTCCACCCAAAGTGTGATAACCGATCTCTCATCCGCCGCCTCTTTGGTCTACGTCTAGACGCTCCCCTTTTTGCATCCAAATATGCCTTCCTTTGGAATAATCCTTCACCAAAACTATGACTTATTGGTATTCAGATCGAAATTACTACAGCGCTTTACATCGGGAAGCATAAAGCCATTATTGACTTTCCTTCCCGAACACTCAAATTCTGGACTTTGAAAAGGGTCCTCCTGTGATTTGATGACATATAATACATGTCTTACTTGCTCAGGCGGGAAATCTCAGAGTTTTTCGATTAAATGGGCTGAAATTGTTTTGCCATTTGAAAAATTCTACCTGATGTCACATAAGTGACCACCACCGAATGGTCATTTCCAGTTTTGAACATATGTCGTGTATTTTCAGTTTCTGTGCATGTCTTATTCAGAAATAGAACGAGCAAAACATTAATAGTTTCAGCAAAATATCAGTATTCATATGGGCGCCCTGCCGTGCATTCATAATCGAAGAATGGAGTCTAAAAGCGAACAAAAACAGTGGAAATGGCCCCAATGTACAGAAGAAGGCATTTTATGTTTACGGTAGAAAAAAAAAGTATTGTTTAGGAACGTGAGAGAAACGGCCAAAAGTGTCAAATTTTTACATAGCGTCACCGTGCAAAAATGCAAAGTACACAGAGATCCGTCAACGGAGTGCAGTGATAAAGCGCTTCTTAAAGAGGTAACTTATTACGGAAAGTTGTCTTATTGATCGAAGCCATATTCGTTGCTGACTTTCGTTGTGGACAGCCATTGTTCTCGAAAATCAAGTTTGATGTTTGAATGAGTCTTCACATGTGATCCAAACGACCATCTTCGTCAAAAGGAGCACCCGAACACTCATTAATTCGGTAAATACCTTCAAGAATAATCTTATGTTAAAGTTCTCAACAGACAGGCAATTCAGAAGCTGTCTTTATGGACGATCGGGTGAAAACACTGAAAATAATGCAGTATTCAGCAACATTTCGAGGCCGATCTGAAACTCAACGTAATCGAAAACAAACGAAAAGTGTGAATTCATTTAACGGAAGACAAGTTCTCTCTATAAATACAAAATGCTATGTTTACGATCACGCCTGTCCGTTCTATTTAAATTTATTAGGCACCGACCGGCCTCATGGCATGTCACCTTATGAAAACGTTTGTTCCTAGGACGCCCCCATGGGTGAAATCAAGTAAAATCAAATTGCTCTTGTTGAACCCTATCTCATTTAACTCAAACGAGTCAAGGATAACACGAATCCATGGAAAACTGTTTTGGAATCTATGCTGAGAATGTGGGCCGTTGGAAAACCGTCATATATGAAATCACACTAGTTTTTAAACGATATTTAGATGAAAACTTCACTGAAGCACTATTATAAGACGTTATTTTATTTCTAATTTCATATTTACTACGTTTGTGGTATGAAAATACATTCTATACATCTAAAAAAGGAGTTTACTAAATTAGAGCCATTTCTGACGTTCTCGGGATATTGCGCTTTTCAAAATAAATCGACATTTCTAAACAACGCAACACTGCCTTTAATATTTCTTTTATGTTTTTAAGTCTTTTAAACTTTTACTTACTTAACATAGACATTGAACCTATGAAATGGTGTCGGTTTGCGAGTGATTGGCAATCATTTGTAAATTTCGACACATTTCATGAGTTAGGTAACGTACTGTAAGTTCACGGGCATGTTTTAGTTCCATACAGAAGGGAGGCCTTGACGAAAGACTCGTTTAATACTGGTGTCGTCTTTTGGTTAACTTCACATAATTTCCAGAGACTGAAGAGGATGTCTCATCGGTCCCATGCTAGATTTCAACCTTGCCTTGCTCGTTTGGAATTTGACAGAATTTGCTATCCCCTCTTCGCTAACTGCATTTTCGCTATGGCCAATGCCTACTGAACTGTAAATCTTGTGCTTCCTGAGGCGAAACCGTGGTGTCTTTCTGGCCCCACCTCTAAGTGATGGACAGAGGTCTAGGGATGACTGTTTCTGATCCTCTAGTCGAAACAAGTGAGCAAGTGAGCTGGGTTTTCAACGTAATAGACGAAAAACCAAGTAGCCTTCATCCAGTCTCCCTTGCATACCTAAAAAGACTAGGGGCTATTTCATCAACAAGGCACACAGTGTGACATCAACCGAAAAGCTTAGATTCCATGTTAGTGGCTTGGTTAAAAAGGTATAATCGGAGATAGCCAAGTTATTGTAGCAATTGTAGGAGGGCTAAGGCGCCATGAATGTCGGAAACCCCCCAAAACCCTTACCGCAATACGGGAAATAAGGGCGCAGTCGGCAAACAAGTAGAGGAACTAAAAGCCAAAATACAATCACCCGAGCAGAAGCGTCTGCACACTACCGCACCTGGGCCTACTTCATGACTGTGAATTTGCAACGTACGGCCAGGTGATACCGGTCCCCGTGCAAACGGAGTCATGAGGCGGCCTAGGGACAGAATGGATTTATCAAAAACAATGACGGTGTCGGAAAGCCAGAGCTTCTTTTGCCAGAAGACACCAGCTTCGAACCAATGACTCTGTCATTACGCCAGTCGAAAATAGTGTCTGAAAATGCGCACTGAAGGTGTGTATTAACTTACCTCCTGAGACTCCAGCCTTTTGGCCACCTGGAGGATGTTTAGGGATTCTGGTCGGTTCTGTTGCTCGCGTAGCCTCACATCACCACCTTGCATCTTCTCACCTGCCGAGATAAAGCGGTTACGTGGAAATAAAAGACGAAAGCTGAACGGGAAACGCCTAATTTTGAGGGGGAATGATGTTAGGCTTACTAAGGACCATTACGTAAGAGACACCACACTAAATTGAATGGTCAGCGAAATGATTCTATCATGGCGGCTAAGGCTGACACCAAGTGTGATTATAAATGGTGTTCCTTTTCATTTTGCTGGGGACGGTGACGAAGACCCTAGATCCGAGTTTCCGGAAAAATCGTCTTTATTGGGATATTTGGCACCCCAAAGTCTGCTGGGGATGGCGTCAGAGACACTAAATGTGACTCATACGCCAACAGAGTCGAGAAATCTCCACGTCACCTGACGGTTAAAGATTCGTTGGCAATCCAATCTTTGGTTGGCATACACATAGGCATTGAGTTCCTTTTACTACCTTGATTGGTCTGATGAATGAAAGCGAATTTTCGAGTTCCAGGCGCACGTAAGAGTAAGGAGCTTCCTTCAACATCGCAGATGCCGACCCGATTGACTTTATTACAGTCCAGCAGGCTATGATTGCGTCTACCGATGTACAGTTTGAAGCTGTCAGTCGGGGTGCAAGATGACGATCGGACGGTGAACTACTATTAGTAGTGATGCTATACAACAATCGAGGAAAAGGCAGTTCGCGCGCCGAGTCGATCGGTGGAAGACGAGTCTGACGAAACAAAACGACAGGATGGGACAGTGATAGCATGGGCCTTCTTTCGACTTGACTTTTTGCCCTACTGCAATACTTTAACCGCGCCGCACAACGCGAGTTTCTTTGACATTTAAGCGCCTTCCTTCAACTGTAGCATACCCATGTTGTATGAGTTTATTGCACTGACAGCAAAGATACTAGCCAAGAGCCCATACACGAGTGTTTCGCCGATATTCTGCGGCTGCATGACACAGCTGCGAGGGGTTCGGCTCATCAGTGGCTCCCCCAGCACTCCCTGTCTGCTTTCTGGTTGATACTCCAATTTCGAAATTTCAGCCTTTTAATCGCCTCAACCGAAATTAGGTCGAACTCCTCACAGAGGCGGAATATCGGGGAAACACGCGCGTCTGGGCTTTTAGCTCATACCCGTGTTGTCAGTAGGGTAAACTGGTACAATGTGTGTGTGTATTACGGGCTTATTCGGCTAGTGCTGACGGATTTCAGCACAAATTTCCATATGAATTTTCGAGTTGGGCCTCTAAAGCTTAAAGCAATTAATTTTCGAGGACATTAAAAAGACGAAACACAACAGTACATGTATTCAGAGGGCGAACAGAGACGGGCAACATGC